GAAGCCAAGTGTGGTGGCACACGCCTTTAGTCCCAGCACCACTTGGGAGGCAGAGGCAGGTGGATCTCTGTGAGTTCAAGGCCAGCCTGGTCTACATAGTGAGCTCCAGGCTAGCTGAGGCTACAGGGAGACCCTGTCTCAAAAAGGCCAAAAAAAGAAAAGAAAAAAAATTTTTGAAAATGGTGCATTCAAGCAGCTTGGATGGAAAAGGAAAAACAGACCAGATGGTAAAAGTCTGGGAAAAACAGAACAAAAGGGGCCAGTATGGGGGCCACGTGGAGCAGGGCCTGGGAAGCTTCCTGCAAAAAACGTCAGGACTGCAAACCCCCCAACCTCCCCACTACCCAGGGGCAGCCTGGGAGGAGGCTTTGAAAGGTCCTCTGTCAACACTGCCTGTGAAGCTTTCATTTTCACCCTAAGTCTTCCCAATAATTTGCTGTTTAATTTGGTAGAGAAACACCCACTTAATAGTGAACGCAATTAATGTAGATTTTCTGTTTGTCATTGTAACGGGATTTTGCTTACATTAGAACTTATCATGAGGGCAGATGAGATAGCTCAGCGAGTAAAGGCAACTGCCACCAAGCCTGACAACCTGAGGTCAATGCCCAGACATGTGGTAGAAGGAGATGACTAACTCCTGCAAGTTGTCCTCTGATCTCCCCCCAACACACACACACAAAAGAATAAATAATATGTAAAAAACAAACAAACATAATGAATTTCTTCAAGCAGAAAAGCAAAAATCACCTCCAAAAGGGGTTATTTGGCAGGAAGCAGGGTAGTAGGAGAAGGGAGAAGTAACAGTAATGCGGAATATGACTAAAGTTAAATGAATATATGGATGAAAGTGGTGTGAGGGCTGGGATATGGCTCACTTGGTAAAGAGCTTGCCTAGCATGCACAAGGCCATGGATTTAAATCCCAGCACCACCTAAACCAGGTATGGTGAGCCACACTGTAATCTCAGACCTCAGTTGGTGAAGGGAGGAGGATCAGGAGTTCAAGGTCACACTCAGCTACCTAGTATTAGGCCATCCTGGGCTATGAGATCCAAAAGAGAAGGGGGGGACGAGCACAATGAAACACAGAATTTTGTATGCAAACTAAAAAGTTAATAAAATAAAACTTGACTCTTTTCATTGCTTTTATTTTGTTTCTACACACGTGTGTATGTTTTGCAATACTAGGAGTGGAACCTAGGACCTTATGAATGCTAGGTAAGCGCTCTACCACTGAGCCACACCCTAGATCCTTGTTTTATGTGTGTGTCTGTGTGTGTGTATGTGCACAAATATGTGAAAATGCCCTTGAAGACCTAAAGGGGGTTCAGATCCCTTGGAGATGGAATTACAAGTGGTTATGAGCTGCTGGACATGGGTGCTAGGATCCAAACTCTAGTCCTCATGATAGAGTAGCAAGCACTCTTAACTGCTGAGCCAACCACCAGCCCCCATGTTTGCTTGCTGAGTCAAGGTCAAGCTCTGTATCTTAACCTGGTCTTGAACTCATAGGAATCCTCCTGCCCTCAGCCACCTAAATGATAGGACCACAGGCTTATGTCACCGCACCTGGCTCATCCTAGCCTTTTTGTTATTTCTTGAATTTTTTAAAAATTTATTTATTTTTATTTATATGTATGAATGTTTTGCCTGCATGTATGCATGTGCACCGTATGCATGTGCATCACGTGCATGCAATGCCTCCAGAAGCCATAAGGGGGCCTAAGATCCCCCAAAACTGTATTTACCACCAGTTGTGAGCTGCCACCTAAGTGCTGGAAACCAAACCCAGGTCCTCTGAAAGAGCAGCCAGTGCTCTTAACCACTGAACCATCTCCCCCACCCCACCCTATCCCCACTCTTTTGTTACTTTATTTTGAGACCAGATCTCACCAAGTTGCTCAAGTTGGCCTTGAAATTTGTGGTTTTCCTGCTCCTGACTCCCAAGTAGCTCAGATTACAGGCCTGAGCCACCACACCTGGCTGTTTCCACATTTTCTTTTAAACAATTAGGTTGCCAAGATAAGGTTCTTTCTTGGGCAAAGAACCAGAAAGGCAAAAAAGCCTCCAACTGGGACCAAGAGCTACAGTGAGGGCAGAGCCTCAGCCACCCAGTGGTGGACTTGTATTTTGGCCATATAGTGAGAGACTGTTAGAAACACCAGGAGATGGGGCTGGAGAGATGGCTCAGTGGTTAAGAGCACTTACTGCTCTTGCAGAGGACTCAGGTTCGATTCCCAGCACCCACATGGCAGATAACAATGATCTGTAACTCCAGTTTCAGGGGAATTCAACATCTTCTGACCTCTGTCGGCACTGTATGACATGGGTTCACTTACATGCAGGCAATACACAAATGCGCATAAAATAAAAATAAAAGAAGCACCAGGAAAAAGCTGGGTATGGTGGTGCACACCTTTAATCCCAGCACTCAGGAGGCAGAGGCAGGCAGATCTCTGTGAGATGCAGGGCAGTCTGTTCCACATGGCCAGTTCCAGGCTAGATGTGGCTACAGGGAGACCTCTCAGAAAGACAAAAAGGAAGGAGAAGGAAGGATGGAAGGAAGGAAGGAAGGAAGGGAGGGAAGAAGGAAGGAAGGATGGGAAGGAAGGAAGGAAGGAAGGAAGGAAGGAAGGAAGGAAGGATGGATCAGGAGAAGCCAGACTTGGCTTGTAATCTCAGGTACCCAAAGGTTGAAGCAGGAGGATTCCAAAATCAAGACCACCTTTGACAGTTTAGTGACAGCCTATCTCAAAAATAAGTGAAAACAGAGTTTGGGAGTAGCTTAAGGGTAGAATCTCAAATTGGATCTTACATGTTTATTTTGGAACCCTAAGGTCCTAGTTCATGACATGGCAGCTTCTTGGTAAAGCTTTGTGGAGCCAGGCATAATGGACAGACTTGACTGTCCCAGCTACTCAGGAGGCCGAAGCAGGAGAATCTTGAGTTCTAGTCCAGCATGGGCTACAAAGTGAGTTTGAAGCCAACATAAGGAACTCAGAAAAAGCCTGTCACACAAATTTTTTTAAAGTTGGGGGTGAATATGATCAAGATACACTGTACACATATATGAAATTGTCAAAAGATAAATTATTCTTTTAAAAAATTTTAAAGGGGCTGGAGAGATGGCTCAGCAATTAAAAGTACTAGCTGTTCTTGCAGAAGACCCAGGTTTGAATTCCAGCACCCATATACATGATGGCTAACAGCCATCCATCTGTAACTCCAGTTCCAGGGGATCCGACACCCTCTTCTGACCTCCCCAGGCACTGCATGACACACATGCAGGCATAACGCTCATACACATAAAAAGTTTATTTTTTTTAATTATAAAGGGAGTCTAGGGAGATGGCCCAGTGGGTAAAGTGCTTGCTGTATAAGCTGAAGACCTGAGTTCAGAATCCCAGAACCCAGGTAAAGCTGGACAAAATCATGTACACATATGTAATCCCAGTACTCCTCCAAGGAGATGGGACGTAGAGACAGGAAGCAGAGATAGGAAAAATGGTTGAATCTCATGGCCAGCCAGCCTGCTGTACACAACAATGGACAATAAGAGACTGTCTCAAACAAGGTGGAAGATGATAATTGATACCCAAGGTTGTCCTCTGATCTCTACACATGCACCATGGCATGAGAGCACTTGCATTCACATTCTCACACACACACACACACACACACACACACACACACACACACACACACAAACGATTTTAAAAGGATATGAGTTGGAGCTCAACACCTGTCTAGAATACCCCAGGGAGGGGCTGGGGGCATGGGCCAGTGATAGAGCACCTGCAGAGTGATTAGTGTGGGCATGCCTGTGGGGGATTATCTTAATTACAATAATTGATGTAAGACGATTCACGTTAATTGTGGGCAGGACCAACCAGTCCCCCGGGAGCCTGTAAAAGATGGAGAAAGCAAGCCAAGTACTAGCAGGCATTCATTCAGTCTCTCTTCTTCTATCTATGATGTAATATGAGGCTGTTCAATACCCTGCTGCCTTGCCTTCCCTATCATGATGGACTGTAACCTGAACCATGAACTAAAATGAACGCTTTCTCCCTTAAGTTACCTTTGTCCGAGGATTTTGTCACAGAAGTAAAAAATAAAAAAAACAAAAAACAAAAAACTAAGATACCTAGCATACACTGCCCCCTGAGTTCAATTCCCACCACCTTAAAAAAAAAAAAAACGGAGGCCAAGGCAGGCTGGAGAGATGGCTTAGTGTTTAAAAGCACTTGTTGGGGCTGGAGAGCTGGCTCAGCAGTTAAGAGCACTGGCTGTTCTTGCAGAAGATCCAGGTTGGAATCCCAGCACCCACGTGGTGGCTAATAACCGTTCATAACTCCAATTCCAGGGATCTGACCTCCTCTTCTGTCCTCTGTGGGTATTGTATGACATGGATACACTTACATACATGTAGGCAATACATGCATACACATAAAATAATAAAAATAGGCCGGGCGTGGTGGCATATGCCTTTAATCCCAGCACTTGGGAGGCAGAGGCAGGCAGAGCTACAAGGAGACCCTGTCTCAAAAAGACAAAAAATAAAATAAAATTAAGTAAATAAATAAATAATAAAAATAATAAATAAAATATTTTTTAAAAAGCACTTGTTATTCTTCCAGAAGATCCAAGTTCAGTTCCCAGCACCTATATGGCAGTTCCAGGGGATCCAATGCCCTGCATGCACGTGGCGCACATACATATATGCAGATAAAACACTCATATGCATAAAATGAAAATAAATGTTTTCTTTAAAGGAGAACTAGAGAGATAACTCAGCAGTTAAGAGCATTGGCTGCTCTTGAAAAAGACCTGGGTTCAATTCCCAGCATCCACATGGCAGCTAACAACCATCTATAACTCCAGTTCCAGGGGAATCCAATACCTTCTTGCATTGCACAATACAGGTGCACATACATGCAGGTAATGCACTCATACACTAAAATAAAATGTGTATTTTTTAAAGAGATAGCCTCCTTTAAAAAATATATGGAATGCTTCATGAATTTGCATGCCATCCTTGCCCAGGAGCCATGCTAATCTCCGCATTATTCCAATTTTAGGATGAATGCTGCCAAAGCCAGCACAATTTGTTTTAAAAAAAAGAAGAAAAAGAAAAACCAGTTAATCAGAGCTGAAATAGGGTTGCTGTCCAGAGGTTTCCACCCAAGAGGCTGGAAGCATAGTGAGCTTGTGCACGAGAGCTGTTTCCTTCCTCTGGAAGCTTCCCAGCCCCACGCTCGGTTCCAAGGCTTCCACACAGCTGTGTGTTAATGACCGATTTCCTCCCCAGCCTGCATATGCTTCCGATGGACTCCAGTCTCATGCATCTGTTTATCTTTAGAGCCTGGCACGCTGTGTCCATGAAATATAGACATTCTCTAGAAAGCCAAAATGACTACTAAAGGATGTTCCAAGACCTGAGCTGCCTGCTCCACTTGGTGACCATTCCCACTCACTGAGGTCAACCAGCCAAAGACTGCTGCCCACTCTCGTGTGTTTATTTGAATGTTCCTTTGTTTGTTTGAAATTGAGATAGGGTCTCACTCTGTAACCCAAGATGACCCAGAGCTCAATATACAGTCCAGGTTGGCCTTGAACTGCCTCAGCCTCCCAAGTGCTAGGATTGAGAGTGAGCCATCATGCTGGGTTTCTGTACAAACACTAATCCTTTGAAGGAACAAAATGTGTCCCTAATGATGGATGACCTCATTGTTTATCAGAGCCCCAAGGAGGCCAGGACAGCATCCAAGCAAACAGGAAGCACCATCACTAATATTTGTGCTGACTTTGTTTATGAAGCAGACATACCCCACAGAATCCAAAATCGAGCCATGTTAACATCACCCTGCCCCCTGGGCCCCAATTTTGGGACAGGGTCTCTATGTAACTCAGGCTGACCTTGAACTCACCATCCTTCTGCCTCTGCTGGGATAACAGATGTGTACCACTGTGCAGAGCATGCCCAGCATCCTAACCTCTTAGAGTATGTTTAGAGTATCAGACTGCAGTCTATGGTCACACCCTGAATGTGTTGAATCTCATTTGATCTAGGAAGCTAAGCAGGGTTGTGCCTGGTTAGTGCTTGAATGGGAGAAAAGCAGACTATAGAGCCATGCATTGATTGCATGCTTGTGAGGCAGGAGACTCGATATATGTGTTCGAATCCAGCCTGAACTACATAGTGAGGTCAAGTACAACCTGGGCTACATAGCAAGATCCTGTTTTAAAAGTAAATAGATAGGGGCTGGAGAGATGGCTCAGCAGTTAAGAGCTCTGGCTGCTCTTGCAAGAGGACCCAGGTTCAATTCCCAGCACCTACATGGAAGCTAAAACTGTCCTAACTAACTCGAGTTCCAGAGGAGCCAACACCCTCTTCTAGCCTCTGAGGGCACTGCACAACATGAGTGCACTTACGAACATGCAGGCAATACACTCATACACGTAAAATAAAAATAAAGAATAAAATATTATTTTTTAAAAAGTAAATAGGCGGGTGTGGTGGCACTTGCCTTTAATCCCAGCACTCAGGAAGCAAAGGCAGGTAGATCTCTATGAGTTCAAGCCAGCCTGGTCTACATAGCAAGTTCCAGGCCAGCTGGGGCCACAGGGAAACTCTGTCTCAAAAAGATCAAAAAATTAATTAATTAAATAAATCAAAAGTAAATAGAGCCGGGCGTAGTGGCACACGCCTTTAATCCCAGCACTCTGGAAGCAGAGGCAGGTGGATCTCTGTGAGTTCAAGGCCAGCCTGGTCTACATAGTGAGTTCCAGGACAGCTGGGGCTACAGGGAGACCCTGTCTCAAAAAGACCAATAAATAAATAAATAAATAAATAAATAAATAAATAAAAAAAAATAAAATAAAGTGGAGAGTGCTCAAGGAAGACATATCAACCTCTGACCCCCACAGACACATGCATGGGATACCCACATACATGCATTATACACACAAATACATGCAAACATAAATGCACACTCATGCTAAAAGGAAAGGAAAGAAAAGAAAAAGAAGAGAGGCTGGAGGGATGGCTCAGTAGTTAAGAGCACTGGCTGCTCTTGCAGAGGACCCAAGTTCCCCTTCAACTTCATACACAGTAGCTAATCAGATCCAGTTCCGGGGGATCCGATGCCCCCTTCTGGCCTCTACAAGCATTGCACACACATACATGCTGGCAAAACATAACATACACATAAAATAAAAATAAATCAGAAAAGAATAAAAGAAAACCACTTTGTAACATGGACCCTGATGCTCTATAGTGGAGTAGGGCTGGAAAGGGTTTTCCCTTTCCAGCCCTTCTCCAAGAGACTTCACAGGCCTGGCCGGAAAACATTCACTTCCTGTCTCTGACTGTAAGATGTATTATGTCACATGGGGAATAAGTTCCAACTCCTATTTTTGGGAAAAGAGGTAATATTAGAGGCAATGGGGTGGGGGGGCATTCCCGACTGGAACTGGAAACAGCACAAAGGTGGCTCAAGAAGCCAGCAGCTCCAGGGGGAGAGGTTTCCAAGTCCCACCTCCCTGCCTTGGGCATTGGCTCTCACATTTTCAGTCCTCCAGTGGCTCTTGTAGGGGAGACAGTACAGGATGTTCTCATGAATCATCCCAAGTTTGATGAACTGTCCCAGAACTAGTGCCAAGGTCAAATTTTAAACCTGAGTATGTATTTCCTCTGGAGTGTGCTGAGGGTAGCTGGCTCTCCTGCTGGAAATTGCATGCTTGGGCTGCAGCAGAATGGAAAACACAGTGTTTCAGAGGCTGGGGGTGTGGCTCAGTGGTAGAGCACCTACTCAAAATCCCCCAGTGAGGAGCTGGGGGCATGGCTCAGTGGTAGTATTCTTGCTTAGCATATACAAAGTGGGGAGTAAGGAACCTAAGAAAGGAAGGTGGGGATGGAGAAATAGCAAAGTGTTAGCCAGCTAAGAGCACTTGGTGCTCTTGAAGAGGAGCAAACCAAGTTTGGTTCCCAACACCCATATTTGGTGGTTCACAACTCCATCTCCAGGGGATCTGACTCCCCTCTTCTGACATCCTCAGGCAATTGCATTCATGTGTACATTCCCACATCCATATATAATTTTTAAAATAATGAAGTCTTAAGAAAAGGAAAAAAATGTATTTCAAAAGGTAAAACACTGAAAGAGACTATGAAAATGCTTGGTACTGTACAATAAGATGCTCAGGAATCAAAACTATGTATTTTGAAAAATACAAATTAATATAAAATCAAGATAGAAGATGCCACTCACAGTACCTACTAGATATATGGCACTGTGCCAACTCTTCCTATTCTTGACTCAAAGAAAATCATAACCTAGGGGTGGAAGCATATCTAGGTTGGTAGAGTGATTGCCTAGCATGCACAAGATCCAGGGTTCAGTCACCAACACTGCATAAACCCAGCGTTATGGTGTGCAGCTGTAATCTTGGCACTCAGATGACAGATTTTAAAGTCATCCTTTGCTACATAGTGAGTTCAAGGTCAGCCTGGGCTACCCGAGATCATGTGTCAAGAAGAAAATAATTGTCAACTACCTCATGAAGAATTTAAAAAGTAAAGTTGGGTATAGTGGCACATGCCTGTAATCAGTATTCAGGAGGCTGAGGCAACAGGATCAACTAGTTCCAGGTCAGCCTGGGCTATATGAGAACCTGTCTAAAAAAATTTTTTGGAGTGGCCAGGTGCAGTGGTGCATGTCTGTAATCCCAGGAGGCCAAGGCAGACAGATCTCTGTAAGATCAAGGCCAGCCTGATCTACATAGTGAGTTTTAGGCTATCTAGGGCTACAGGGAGACCCTGTCACAAACAAACAAAATTATTAGTTAGGGCAGGAGGACCAACATGATGGTTCATAAAGTTAAGGTGCTTGCTACCAAACCTGATGACCTTAGTTCAATCCCCAAAACCCACATAATGGAAGGAGAGAACCAACTCCCTTGATTTCTAAAAGTTTTCTGAAGCTGGGCATTGTGGCGCATGTGTTTAATCCCAGCACTCAGGAGGCAGAAACAAGTGGATCTCTGTGAGACACAGGCAAGCCTGGTCTACATAGCAAGTTCTAGGTCATCTGGGGCTAAAGAGAAATTCTATCTCAAAAAGATAACAAACAAGTTATTTTCTGACATCCGCATGCTCACTGTGACAGTGCATATTGGGGGACACACACATGCACACACACACACACACACATACACACGAAATAGACAGACGTAAGAAAAAGCTAATTTTTTCCTTTTTAACAATATAAACAGTGTAAAGCAAAATTATGAATCCTATAATAAATTCATGCCAGGGTTAGTGATCTTGCAAAATATCAGAAAAATTTTTAATATTGCATGCAAGACCCAAGCAGAAGACAAGAAATAACTATTCTGACAATTTTTCCATAACAGACTAAAACAGAAATATTTAACAAAGAGAAAGCCTGGAGTTTATTCCAGCAAACTGCTTTATTTGAACAAGTCCTAAGTGGTACTCAAAGCATCTCAAAAAAGATTAACTAGTTTGCAAGCTATATATATATTTAGCCCAGTTTATCATTAAACATTTTTCCTTGATAGATTTCCAACAAAAATGTACCAGGAGGCTCAATATTCATTGGTGTTGAGGGAAAATAGCAGTTCCCGACCTTTTATGTTTATTTTTATTTTTGTTTTGAGACAATATCTCCCTGTAACCCCAGCTGGCCTGGAACTTGTTATGTACAGCAGGCTGGACTCAATCTCACAGAGATTTACCTGCCTCTGTCTCCTGAGTGCTAGGATCAAAGGCATGTACCACCATGCCCTGCTTACATTTAGTTATCTATTGTGTATGTACACATGTACACGCATGCCAAGGCATAAATGTGAAGATCAGAGGGAATCAGGTCTCTCCTGTCACTATGTAGGTTCTGGGGACAGAACTCAGATTGTCAGGCTTGGCAGCAAGCCCCCATACCTGCTGAGCCAACTCAGTGGCTCCCAATTTTTTGTTGTTGTTGTTGTTCTTTTTGAGACAGGGTCTCCCTGTAGCCCCAGCTGTCCTGGAACTCACTGTGTAGACCAGGCTGGCCTTGAACTCACAGAGATCCGCCTGCCT